GATTCTGCCTGTCTGACAAGCTCCCAGGTGACAAGGAGGCTACTGGTCCCCAGACCTGTACTTGAATGGCTTCGGTTTGTTTTACTCAGTGTGCAAAGCGTGGACTTACACCACTCTGTGAGAGTCAGTAAACATGTTTCTGCCATGATCCGGACTCTGGCAGAATTGTTTAGTGTGGTAGAAAGAGCATTGGGTCAAGAGGTCTGCTTTCTACCTCCAGCACTTCCCCCATTTAGCTGTAAGACAAGTCTCTTAAAAGTACTTCAGTCCTTCACCCTCTTATCTCTAAAACGAGAGGGTTGAACTGGATAAATTGCAAGGTTCTCTTTGTTCCTACCTCTCCTGTTCTGGTCCAGGGTGTTTTCAGGGACCATGGAGCAGGTTTTTATGTGGAACTAGACTCTGTAGTTAGGACCCTTTCTTCCCCAGAGCTGGGGGCCTAGGCCCTAACTTTGGATTGATTGGGGGAAATAAAACTAACACATGTTAAAAAATTAAAACTTTTTTTTTAAAGATTTTATTTATTTGAGAGAGAGAGAGAGCACAAGTGGGGGGAGGGACAGAGGGAGAGAGAAAAGCAGACTCCCCACTGAGCAGGTAGCCTGACATGGGGCTCAATCCCAGGACCCTGGGATCATGACCTAAGCTGAAGGCAGACACTTAACTGACTGAGCCACCCAGGCGCCCTCCAAAATGAAAGAAAACTTGACGTTGAATTGTAAGCTATCATAAGTACAGAAAGAATGCAGGGAAGCTAGAGTTGAGTGTCTACCAGAAAAGTCAGTCGAGATTTGAGTCAATTATCATTTATTGGGCCAGATGGACTGTAGTGCTAGTTCAGGGGGCAGTTCTCATGCTTTTGTTTGCTTGTTTCTACAAAAACAACCTTCAAAACAGTGAAGAACAAAACATATTTTTCTGCCTTAAATTAAAACAGTGTAGGAGAAAGGCCTACTTTCGTGAAAGTAAATGTTTGAAAGGAAGCTAAAATGCTATAAACTTTTTTTTTCTGTTTTTAATTTTTCAAGGCTAATCTTGACTATTGAGAGATTGATACCAAAAAGAAAATTACCATGACCAGATAGAGGCTGAGTCAAAAACCCTTGTGCATTTCCCTATAGACACTAATAAGTAGCATCAGAAATTACCTAAAATAGAAATAAAATCCCTTAAATAGTAAGTAATATTAAAAATGACATATTTCTCTATCTTAATTCATTGGAAAAGAGATCAGATAATACATTTAGATTTTATAACATAGGTGCATAGGAATTTTGGACTTAACCTCTTGATGTCAAAGGAAGTGTATTTTGCCTTGTAATTAGGGTTTTACTAAACTATAGTTTGCCTTAAGAAGAGGTTGTATGATTAGCGTTCATGAAATAGAATACTCTCATTTGATGAATCAGATTCAGTACACAGTTTAATTCTAACTCTTCTCTGAATATCTTGAGGTCTTTTTCCTCTTTAGCTAGATTATTTTTAAATTGCAGACTGTTTTTACTTTTTGTCTCACGATCACCTACCTTTATGGCTTTACTATATTTGGCAAATCTTCTATATAATCAGCTATTGATTATCTATTATAATGAGGGTAATCATATAATACAGTAGAAATAATGTAGTTTGTTTATTCATTTGAGTAAAACTATTTTATTTTCTAAGAGACTCTTTCTGTGATCATAGGAGGCTCATTCTCAACAGTAGGAAAATCTCATCTAGTTTTAAACTAATAACATAACATAGATCATTTTATAGAAAGATTATTTTAGTTGCAAGTGACAGAAAACCCAATCCAAATTGGGTGAAGTCAAGAAAGGACTTTTTGGGGCCATGTAACTATATTTGAGGGTGGAACTAGCTTTAGGTATGGTTGGTGTGGACAGTGTCATCAAGATCTGGTCTTTCTGCATCTCATGGCTTTGCTTTCCTCTGCACTGGCTTCATTCTCAGGCTCCATTTGATTACATGATGGCTACCCAAACTGCCAAGGCTTTGTCTTCCTGGTTCAAATCCAGTAGAAAAGAGAATATCCTCCCCCATCCCCTAATCCAAGTCCTGAACTGTGTTTCATTGGCCCTGAATAGATTTTTTACCCTCCTGAGTCTGAGGCCAACAGGACTGATGCTCTTATTGGTCAGTTCAGAGTCTTGTGATCATTCCTGTAGTAGGAGGCCATGTCCACACTGATAGGGGGAAGGGAATGATTCCTTAGAGAAAATTGGCTACTGTTTCAGAAGAAGGGGAAATAGATACCCGATGTAAAAAGCAACAGCAACAACTACAATCCCTATATATATCTTTCTCAGTTTAAGCCAATATTAAAAGTTATTTATGTTGTCTAGACACAAAGACTTCAGTGGTTGAAGGCCCTCAGGTATGCTTTGCATTTGGATGATGCAGAGCTAGAATTTAAAACAATAATTCCATCTACAAAATGTATCGTACTGGGGTGCCTGGGTGGCTCAGTCAGTTGAGCATGGGACTCTTGGTTTCTGCTTGGGTCATGTTCTGGATGTTGTGAGATTGAAACTATCATGGGTTCCACTCTGGCACAGAGTCTGCTTGAGATTCTCTCCCTCCCCCTCTGCCCCTCTTCCTGCTCAAGCTCTTGCGCTCTCTCTCTCAAATAAATAAATAAAATAAGATATTTTTAAAGGTGATAGTATTGGTTACCTGATAGCTTACGTTACAGGGAGGAAGAGTATTTAAATATTTAACAATCTCTGGCGGGGGCATCAACCAATCAGAATAAGTTGGGTCCAGCCAATAGAACTGGTACTGATCAGGACCAACCAGCAGGGTTCTTTGGTGAGTGCTGGTGGGATGTCAGCCCAGTTAACTGGGAGGCATTGTAAAGGTGCCACCAGAGTTCTTAGAAAATATAGTTCCTGTATTAGTTTGCTAGAGCTACCATAAGAAAGTACCATGAACTGAATGACTTAAAACAAATTTATTCTCTTCCAGTTCTGGAGGTTGGGAGTTGAAAATCAAGGTGTCTATAGGGCCATGCTCCCTCTAAAGGCTCTAGAGAAGAACTTTTCTTTGCCTCTTCTAGCTTCTGGTGGTTGGTGGCCATTGTTGGCATTCTTTGTCTTATAGATGCACCACTTCAGTCTGTGCCTCTGTCTTCCCCTGGCCTTCTCCCTTGTGTGTTTGTGTCTCTGTAGCCAAATTTTCCTCTTAAAAGGAAATTACTTATATTGGATTCACGGTCTACCCTATTCCAGTATGACCTCATCTTCACTTTATTACATTTGCATAGACCCTGTTTCCCAAATAAGGTCACATTCACAGGTTCCAGGGGGACATGAATTGTGAAGGGACATTATTCAACCCAGTACAGTTACCTAAAATCCGATGCTCTTACATAGTTGGCATGACACAATTTTTTTAAAGATTTATTTATTAATTTTAGAGAAAGAGTGAGCAGGAAGGAGGGGCTGAGGGAGAGGGAGAGAGAGTCTTAAGCAGATTCCACGCTGAGCACAGAGCCTGACATGGGGCTTGGTCTCACCACCCCCAAGATCATGACCTGAGGCGAAACCAGGAGTCAGACGCTTAACCGACTGTGCCACCCAGGTGCCCTGGCATGACACGAATTAAAAAAAATAAATTCAATATTAAATCACTCACAAACACTATAAAATTTTTCTTTTCTTATTGTGTAGTTAAAAACTGAATTTTTGAATCTTAGTAAAATTAAGTGAATTATGAATGGTTTTAGTTGGAATGCTATCCTGTACTTTTGTTACTGCATCAGATTAAATAATCACATTTCCTTAGTTGTAACTATTTAAATTCTGTTAAAATTTGTGTGTTAGTGTGACAATTTCGTGGAGAATTAATAATATTCATTAATATGTGAGTATGTGTATGAGGAAGTATTATATTTTTATACATGACTTTATTGAATTCAACCAAATTTTGCTTTTTAAAAAATGAAACTGACCACAATTAGATAAACTTAAGTGTATTTAAGAGCAAGTATAGGAAAGAGGTGAGAAATACAACTGGTGAAAGGCTTGGAAATCATGTCTTCTATGGAACGTTTGCAAATGGTGCTAATTGTCTTCAAATTTATGAAGAATGGCTTTGTGGAAAAGAGTTTAGACTCTGGAGGGCAGAACTAAAACCAGTGAGTTAACGTTAAAGAGAAACATTTCAGTGCAATATAAGATAATATTTTCTCATTGAACTACGTACCATGTACCAAAATGGAGGTGGTGGTCATATAAAGGAGTAAAGCAAAGGTTCCTGGAAGTGCTTAGGCAGGTGCTGCACAGTTACCTCCATGTGATGTAATGGAGATCTTGCCTTGAACAAGAAGTTAAAATGGAAGGTCCCTTCTTAGCTTCAAGATCTGTTGCAAGTCCTCTTTAAATCTCTCTTTCTATATAGGCCATGAAATCAATATTAATATGTGACAAAGTATTTCTATAAGTTTAAATGCTTCTTTTTTTTTAAGGTTTTTTTATTTATTCATTCAAGACACAGAGATACAGAGAGAGAGAGAGAATATGAGCAGGGGGAGGAGCAGAGGGAGGGGGAGAAGCAGGCCCCCTGCTGAGCAGGGAGTCCGACGCGGGGCTCGATCCCAGGACCCTGGGATCATGACCTGAGCCGAAGGCAGACGCTTAATGACTGAGCCACCCAGGCGCCCCAGTTTAAATGCTTCTTAACAGCTGCAAACCTGAGGTTTTGCTCCATGACTTATGTGCTATGAACTGCTTGGAAGAAAAAGGAGGGGGGATGCCTAAGAGAAGGGGAAGCATCATTAATAAGTAAGAAAGGTAGGGGATTAAAACTGCTATTCAGTGAGTACCTCCTATGTGCAGGGTTTATCGGATGGGTTTCTCTATCCATATTATATCTCATATCATTTAATTTACTTAGTTTTTTATTACTCAGATTGAAATTTATGAGAAACTGTAGTTCTTAATATGATGAATTCTAAAAATAATTGGCATTTTCTTATGTATTCTTTATGTGGAACACAGGATTGTTCTGAAGGCTACATGTGCAAAACACATTTTCAAATTAAACCTGGGACAGTGGTGTCACATCCGGGAACATCTGCCCATGTACAGACATGTCTTCCCATGGAAGTAAGTGGTTTACTATATCATATTCTCCTTTTCAGTCTTTGTGAAGTATAAATGAACCAATTTAAATCTGTTAAATATATATTTGAAAAAAATGACTGGCATTGGATCCTGGGCCTGCTCTAGGGGGAGAATTGAACATCATTGGTTAGGGGGTATTTTCTTCTATAATATTGAAAGCAGGAATTGTGGTAAAGCTAAGATCCACTCTGAGTCAATACAGACTGTGGATCTGAAGACCACCGATGCCTTCCATTGCCTGTTGATTTTTCTCCAGTGAAATCCTCCCAGGACAACACAGACCTGTCCCTCAGCTGATTAATACATGGCTGGAGACCTCTGCCTAGTCTGTCTGCCTTTAACTGTTTTTTCCTATGCTCTTTAAAATATGCTGGATCTGGGTCTCATTCCTTAGGGGACTTTAACCTTGACTTGAAAATCTTGGTAAATTAAATTTTAATAAGGTGATAATGGCTTAGTGGTTTTCTGGGATACTTTCAATTTTATTTTTATCAAAATGCAAATAGCCTTCTTGTATTGTTATTGTTAGTAAGGAAATTTTTAATATATCCATGGCAAAAGTAAACAATAAAGACATATATAAAGAGTAAAAAAACTCCCATATGTCCTTTAACTGGAGATAGCCACTTTTAATATTTTAGTAAATATCCTTCTACACATTTTCTATCATATAGACACATACATATTTTTCTTTTTTTGCAATGAACAAGTCATATATCATGGAGATCTTTCCATGTCAGCAAATGTAGAATTCCATAGTTCTTTTTAAATGGCTTCATTGCATTCCACCCTATGGATATAATCACCATAATTTTGTAGAGCCCATTCTGAAGTAAAATACTTGAATTCTAAAATAGAATTGGTGGAGATATAATTGTTTCAACATGAAGGAAGAAAATACTAATGCTTGGAATTCTGAGCATCCTGGTAAATGGGAGAGGACACTTTTCTTGTGAAGGAAGAGCCCTTTCTCAGGACCTGTTAAATCAGTCCCATTTGGCAATCCAGCATTAGCTGCCCCCCATATATGACACTGGCCTAGAAGTAACTCTTGCCAATGTAAATTCAGTTTGCAAGTTATTCTTGAGGGTATTGTGTTTGGTAATAAGCTAAGTGCCCCTGGGTAGGCACTCAAATCCTGCTTACTGCTTCATAGTTCAAATAGCCAACATCAAATCTGAGGCCAAGGATGTCAGGAAGCTTTTCAATTCATTATATATTAACTTAAAAAATGCACATGAAAATGGTGATTTAAAAGATGAATTACCAGTTTATGCCTAACAAGTTGGCAGAGATTGAAAAGCACTAAAGAGTGGTGTTGACAATGTGAGGGAACTGACACTTTTTGGTTGATGTTTTAACTTCACACAGTATAAAGATGGGCACATACTATGAACAATTTATTCCAAGTCTAGGAATTAACCTCATAAAATAGAAGTCTCTTCAGCATTTTTCGTTTTAAACATTTTCTAAAAAATTTCAAACATGAAAAAGTTGCAAAAATTTTGAAGTCAATATCCATATACTCATCACCTAGATTCTACCATTAACATTTGCTGTGTTTGCTTTATTATATGTCTGTCCTTCTACTCATCTATCAGTACATCTTATTTTTTGATTTAATACTTTTACCTCAAAGTAGATTGCAGACAAATACTCATAGAATAATTAGAAATATACACAGAGATTTACCTGCAAGTACATTCATCTCAACATTATTTATACTAGGAAGAAATGGGAACTACTGAAGTGTATAACAATAATGGATTGGTTAATTATGGCACATCTCTATGATGGCATTTTTGATTCAGTAGGTCTGGAATAGGACCTGAGAGTTTGCAGTTCTAACAAGTTCCCGAACACTGCTGCTGCTGCTGGTCTGGGGATCACATTTTGAGAACCAGTGCATTGCTCTGTGATAGAATGCTTAGCATATTTGAGATGCTGTACAGCTGAGATAGTTAATATGATATATGACAGAGTCGATATTACAATAATCTTGGTGGGATGAAAGATGTCTCAGGTTGGGTTTGCCAGAAGCAGAGCCTGAAATGGAGTTGCCTGTTCAAGTGATTTGTTATGGATGAGCTCTTAGAAGAAAGAGAGTGACAAGCAGACTAAGACAAGGGATAAAGCTAAGGAAGAATGTGGTCTCCTCTAGAAACGAACTTGGGTCTGATTCCATGGGAAGCTCTGGAGCACAAACTACACCCAGAATTAGTTCTACTTTGTGTCATTGGGATGGGTCTTTTGTACTCTGTGATAGTTATTAGCTTGTCATTCAGTCATTGGATGAAGTGGAGGTGAACATAATTTCCCAAGCCAGGTGGCTCCAGTGTGTTACTGAGTAATTCTTCTGTGTGTTGTTATCAGCTAACAGTCAAAACAGCTAAGTGGAGATGGGTGCACTGGTCTGAAGGGGAGCTAGAATGGGCATCAACAGTGTCCACTACCAAAGAATAATGTGAAACCAACAAAACGGGATCTATAGGTAAAATATACATTTAAGTTCTGTATTTATTTATTTATTTATTTAAATGGAGAGGCAGGCTCTCTCTCTTTTTTTTTTAAGATTTTATTTATTTGACAGAGAGAGAGATAGTGAGAGCAGGAACACAAGCATGGGGAGTGGGAGAGGGAGAAGCAGGCTTCCCGCGGAGCAGGGAGCCTGATGCGGGGCTTGATCCCAGGACCCTGGGATCATGACCTGAGCCGAAGGCAGACGCTTAACGACTGAGCCACCCAGGTGCCCGTAAGTTCTGTATTTAGATGCAAGGAGGGAGACAATGCTGTTTTGGAAAATGTGTTTATTTTTCAAAGAAATTTTTCATAGAAGTATGCCATTATGTTAACATGTATTTTAAATGAACTAATAAGTATACTTTTATAAATTTTAGTTTTAATTGCTAATACAGTGAATATCATTAGATAAACTCTATTAAACAGAAGCTCATTGGGATCTTCAATGAGTTTTAAATGTGAAAACGGGTCCTGAAGCCAAAAAGTTTGAGAACCATTGATCTAAATCAAGGGAATATTACATTATTACATGTGAAGAACACTGATAACTAGAATATATAATAAACACACAAGTAAGAGTTGAAAAATCATAATAAATAGAATATTTATTATAAGTAGAATTCATTCATGCCGAGAAGCATCCCAGGGGCCATAGATGGGCTTGCATACATTGCTATGAGGAATATTTGGAGGCTCTGGAGATGTTAAACTGGAAGTGAAGACCTAGGAAAGTTGGTTGTCTTCAGATACCTAGAAGCCTGTTCTGTGGAAGAGAGAATAGTAAGTTTACTTTGTTTTTGAGGATAAAACCAGTTTGTGTTTGGAAATTATTCTAGATAATTCTCTCTAATGTTTAGTGTTGCCTACAGTGAAGTTGGTCACCTTGCAAAGTTATATGCTACCTCCCCTTTCATGATGATGTTCATCAACAGAGTGAATACAAAGAGTGGTCATTTACTGAAATGCTTGGATGCTTAAAACACAAGGCAGATGATGAGTGAGTGAAGTGGGCTGATGGGAAGTGCAGTGGAGAAGTGGAGAAGGCACGACTCATCCAATAGGGCAGCAGACATGCAGCTCCATGTGGATTTTAAAGATGAGGCACAGATCTGGATTTTTGTGCATTGGCTTAATTAAAACAAAACAAAACAAAAACTGTGGAGTTCATGTAGACCATAGTTATGGGCTGCAGATTGTCCTTAGGCCACCACCCTGTAACCTAGCCTCTATTATTAAAGAAAGGAGTCCTGCATTGTATAGAAGACTAACCTAGGGGACCTCTGAATTCTCTTTTGAATTTAAAGCCCAAAAAGTTCCATATCTCTGCATTTCCAATTTAAAGATATTCTGCTAATAGTTGTTTTTTTGTTTTCTTTTAAATGTGGCCATGTATAATGTGGGAAATCAGCTCACTTCCTTGTTCTAACCAGAATCAGCCTTCTTGATTGTAGAAAGATAGCTGGATTCATGATTTTTATGACTCTAATATTATCTACAATGGTATGTAATAATCACAGGATGTTTATTTATTTTCAATTATTTATTTTTTTGAAGATTTTATTTATTTGAGAGAGAGAGAATGAGAGAGAGCACGAGAGGGAAGAGGGTCAGAGGGAGAAGCAGATGCCCTGCTGAGCAGGGAGCCCGATGTGGGACTCGATTGCGGGACTCCAGGATCATGACCTGAGTCGAAGGCAGTCGCTTAACCAACTGAGCCACCCAGGCGCCCCTCAATTATTTATTTTTAAAAGATTTTATTTATTCACTTGAGAGAGAGAGTGCGCATGCACAAGCAGGGGGAGCAGCAAGCAGAGGGAGAGGGAGAAGCAGTCTCCCTGCTGAGCAGGGAGCCCAAAGCAGGGCTCCATCCCAGGGCCCTAGGATCATGACCTGAGCCGAAGAGAGACACTTAACCGACTGAGCTACCCAGACACCCCGGTCACAGGATTTTAAAGATCAAAGCAAAATATAATGGAATATATAAGTGAAGTAATTTGTGAGAATCATAATCTATACCTTCTTTGAATTTTTAACATAGAATTCAAAATGACAGTTAAAAGAATGAGATGATATTCAGAAATCTAAATTTATTGGGGTGTTCTTTAGTACTGGTTTGGGGGAACAGGAGTTCTTATAGTTTAATCATATTAGATAACACATTTATTGAGAGTAGTTAATATGATTTGCTTGTGACATTTCTGAGTTAGCAAAATTACAACCAAGACACTGGCAGTTTTTGGACAAGATATTTTCTTTAGCAGTGACTGAAAGAAATCCATTGCCTCAATTTAAAATCTTTGATATGAATGACTATTTTCACCAGGACCCAACATAATCAACTTTGGTCCTTGAAATATCTTATGTAACACTTATTTCCGTAAATGTATATTGGTATAATACTTCACTTTATCACCTTATGATTTTTTGGATTTACCTGAACACTTTTCCTAGATAAATTAAGA